AGATCGAGCTTAGAATATTGCTGCTTTTCCCACAATAATAGCACACACGTGAGTTGGTGATAGGGAGAACCAATTTTTTTACGAGTATCCCTTACACGTCAGATCAGCTCTCATCAACGTGTCCTGTTACATTACACGGTGGATTTAACTGCCAAGCAACTTGCATCACACAAAATAGCTTTGAACGCTTTCCTTTTTTTTTACTTTCGTTTATCGTTCACATTTATCACCAATGAATTATTTACCGTTTATTACACAACAGTTTTTATTTAATGATCTTTGTGTGCCGTTTATTGAAACATAAATTTCACAAGTAAAAATTTAAATGATTAGATTAAAACTAATAGTTTCAACATGTATTTATAGATACATTTTAAGCACGTCATCTGAACTTAAATATTAAGATTTAGATGACAAAAACATTCAAACAGATATGAATAAGTAAGAAATAAAATATCAATTGTTTCGTTGTAGTAATGTTGACAAGTGTCGCGACATCACTTTACAAGTTTTCATTTCGTCCGGGAATCGACGAAGAGAACTTTGAATACTCCATTGTTTGACATTCGACGAAGCTTTTCAGCGAACGAGGACATTTCGGAATAAGACAAAATTTGAGTTAAATCTGAAATAATAGGCGATCGGAACCAACAATTGGTCCGTGCCGTATTTCAAAGCCGATGACGGAAACGTGACGCATGCTTCGAAGTCGCGAATCTGTCTTCAAATCTGACATGCCTCGAATCTCGCTTAATTAATAGCCTTATAGGATCGCGTTGGAGGAACCCTCCTTCGCTTTTGTGGAACTAGTTGGCAAAAGGGCACGTGCGAGCCACGTGTCGGTAAGAGGATATCCGCGCCGTTCTAAAAGAACGTTTTCGATACGAGGAGGGAAGGAGAGGAATCATCCATTACGCGAGATCTCAGGTGCCTTTTCGTCAAATAAACTTCTACCAATAAAGATCTGTGCTTAATAGTCCTTTCATAAGCTTTCATCTTGAGTTCTTCGAATTTGCGTTCAAATTCGCGTGTCTCAAGATTTTGACGAACGTATTTATGGCATATGGTATATATGGTTCTTAGATCTTTCTCAAACACTTTTGGAAAATTTTGAAAATATTTTTAGAAATTCTTCGAACATCTCCGATATTTACTTAAATTTCTAAGCATGTTGCCTTCTAAAATTTCAATATCTATAATTTAAGATCTTCACGGATCGTAAAACATATTCAAAGAAACTTTATTCGATAAAGTTCTCAAGACTCTTCCCAAGTCGAAATATTTTCCTACCTTATTTAAAATTTTTATATCTGTTTTGATCTGCCAGATAGATTTTTTTATTTTATATTATTCTATATTTATAGCTTTTATTAAAAAAAATCACAAAATTTTATTAAAGATGACCAAAAACTCATTAAAAAAATTTTAAATTAAATTAAAAAATTGCTCATTGCTTATTTCAAATGCAAAGTAGAAACTCAATCCTTTAAAATCTATAAATCTTAAAATAAGGTTAAGATAAAAAAATTGGAATAAAATTTCGATTCGAATTGGAAGATTATATATACTTAAAGAAAGAAGTTTTTTTTAAAGATAACTTTTTAAATTTCCGGAACATCTTAGATCCCCTCAGAAATCAGTTTAAGTTCTTCAGACTTAACTTTTTTTTTTTGCCTCAAGTTTTTTCATCCTCTCTCTGGCGTTCGGAGCAATAGCCGTTCGGCTGCAAAAAAAGGAGCATCTCGAAACATCTCGCATACTAATTTCTCGCAAACTGCCGGTCGAGCCGCGTCGAGCCGCGTCGGTGCGAGTGGCCCGACGAGATTTCCAATTTTTTTCGCCGCCGTTTTGTCCAAGCCCTCGCGAGCCTAAGGGCCGGCAAAAGCACCGCGCTCGCCGCGCAGTTTATTGCGATTGTGGGACTCGGCGCATACGAATTGCGCGCATTAAGTCCCGCGAATATAGACGCGCGCGGAGTTCATTCTCGAGGACGGATCGAGCAGACGGAACGGCCGCACCGCAGCGAATTCGCCTAATTCGCAAGATTTTGCAATCGGGATGGCGCCAGACGAGAAGCGCCGCTTTCGCGATCATCGACTATTTCTCGAGGTGCTCTTTGCAAATGTATATGTAATACAATCGTAATGCGCAATACATTGATTTATAAGCCGAAACGATCAAATCGACCAATTTTCAAATACGTAGATAATGAAACGCTATTTTGAATAATTATTGTAAAACGTTATTGTAAACTGAGAAACGGAGCGAAATTTTTACGCGAGAAAATCAAGCGGGCAAGCGCAGTTGAATGCGCCGAGCTACAAGAAGAGAAGAGAAGGGGCTCTTTAGAACCATTCCGTCAGTTTGCTCCCTCGTAAAGCCCGTCGTCGAGCAGGCACGTGTTACTGCGGAACACGTGCCTCTTCGACAACGAATCACCCAGCTCTTATAATCCACGCAGCGTTCATTGATCGGCACGCGCTGCTGCTCTATAACCTGAAAATATCCCGCCAATAAAGTGACCGCGTTAGGCGGATGAAAATCGCCCGAGTGATATATTATTACAAGTAATGACGTACACAGTACGAGTAATCCCGCTTTGGTTTTAAAAGATTTCATATTATTTATGCCTCTGGGCATAAGGATGAAATTTGCGTAATAAAATGTGTCTGGAATTATTTTTAGGAAACAATATAGTATATCAATGTGTATTATACAAATCAAAGTGTCTGCAATTTACAGTAGACTGCAAATTCATGGATATAGGAAATTTGTATGCATAAAGGATTAAGATTCCTTTGATGAATTAGTAACTTAAAAACACTAAATCTAATTGGAAAGTCCTAAAACTACAAAAAACGTAGTTTGTTACGTTTTTGTATAAATTTAATTCTGTACTTTTCTAACCATTAATTTAAGAAAATAATGTGATGTGTGTGTGTGTGTGTGTGTGTGTGTGTGTATAATTTTAAAAGTTTATTATTTTACATATTAATATGTAATTAAATAAAAAAGAATTACTTATGTCGTTCGATATACAAAAATTAAGGTGTTTATTAATTTTAATCAAGATTTAAACAATCATTCTCGAAACACGCATGTATCGATTTTAATCGTTTTATATATATATGTATATTAAAATAAATTTTCTCTACTGAAATCTCTTTATTCATATTCAAAATCATGTAAAAGCAATATTGTTATAGATCACTGAATTTGTCTTAAATTATTCCATGCTGATAATAAAAAGTTCTAGTTAAAAGGTAATAATAACTTTGATATGTTTAAAAAAATATGATTTTTAGCTAAGTTTTTTTGCTTATTATAATATTTGTTATTTTGAAACAAATAACATTATTTTCTTTCATTGTCTTATATGATCAAAATCAATTAAGATATTTAAATTAAGAGACACACACACACACACACACACACACACACACACACACAAATTACAGCTCTTTTTGAAGATATAAGTTATAACATATACTATGCATAGTTTAAATGTTATTTGTAAATAATGATAATGACTTACTATTAATATAAATTAAACCGGATTTTTCATACAAGATTTTTCATATTGAATTTAATTTAATTTAAACGCACAATTTTCTTTCCGACAAGCAAACCAACTGTTGTAAAAATTTATTACGGTTTACCTGTAGAGCTGTAGAACGTCGGTTGAGGATTAATCGATTGATCCCATAATGATGCAGCATGCTCAAACTAAGTCGCTTTTCCTTTCGCTTCTAAAATCTTGAATTCGTGAAAGAGATGCTCGAGTGACAGCAATAGCAACGGCGCCGCCGGCAGTGGCGACAGCGTGTATTACACTGCTTTGAATGAGCACATAATCCCCGAGACATCCATTCAACAGCACGTGTTTCCGATTGGTCGACTGTCTGGAACATTCTCTATTCGTTGTCACTACAATGGACAAGCGGCGTTTCCTTGCCAGATATTTACGGGATCCTCGCCCATTGTGGTGTCGTTGTCGCCTCTACATATTAACGCGTTTGCATTCTTTCAAGGCCGCACATTATAAATTTCTATATCCTCCTAATATGTCGATTATGTATACATTTTACGCACGATAAATAAGCAAATCCCCCAAATGTGACACGTCTTGAATTTATTTAATAATAAATATATCTATTATTTATTCTGTTTGCTTCTTTTTATTTAACTGAAGGTTATATAAAAGAATTTTCGAAAATTATTTCTTAATAATTTTTCATTTCTTCCCTTTTCCTTATTCCTTATTAATGTCGACATTTTGTGACACTGAGAAGATATTATCCGTATCGTATTCCGGATTTAATCTGTAATTGTATTGTTTGTTAGCTAACATCGCTAACATTTATGTACAACAATCTGTACATTCCTAGACAAAAGGATATGAAGATTTACAATGTGACTGTTATTTAGAAGATGTTAGCTCGTGTTCTATAAAATGCACCGAATGCATACTGCCTGAACATTTATTGAGGTCCCGCTTATTGTAACGCCCGTTGTGGACCCCGCGTGTAACCGGCCCGACCGCTCATTGTCGCGTTTCTCTACACGTTTGAAATTCGCGCGTGCCCGCGGCTTGCCGGCCGCAAACAATGGTGACAATGACCGCTGGGTGGACCGTTTAGCTCACAAGCGACCCGAGAATACTCTCGGCCAGCCGGACTGCGGAAAACGGGTATTCTTTCCGCAGTTCAAGGTGCGACCTTTTAGGCATCGAGTTGCATTGCTTACAGGAATTGATCTCTCGCAATGCGTATATACATTTCCTTGTCAAATATAAGAACACGTTCACACAGTTGTTAGTTTATCGATCAAATTTTCGATTTGCAAAAGTTCTTGTATAATTATAAATTTTTATTATAATTTTAAATTTCTATAGATCTTTTAAAAAGTTTACAAGTTTTAAATGCAAAACTTAAAGGTCTTAAATATTTTACGTAATTATTTTTCTTTTTTATGAATAAGCTTTTTTTCATTATCTTTATTGCATTTGTTATCTTTATTACGTTTATTATTTTAAAATATGCTTGTATAAAAAGTATCTTTTAACTAAATCGTTTCTGTACTTTTCTGTCTTTCAAACAAACCATTCCTTTTATTAAATCTCTGAAATCTGGAGTGCCGATATATTTCAACTCAACTTGAATTTACGTTTTTGATATCTCCGTCTACCGCTCGCAGCCAAAAGCATAAAGAGCGACGGCGTAAATTTAGCAAACGAAAGCCCTTTCAACCAGGTGCGCAAGGATTTTAGAGACAAAGCTTAAAAGCGCCAATGGCTTTCGACCCGACCGCCACTTTCAATTCGGAAGCTGCTTTATGGTTTACCGCTCGCAGATCTCTTCCATTTGTAAAAGAGAATAATACCGAAAATACTGGAGTTTCAAATGTCCGAATGTTCTAACCATACTATTTCTGTCTATGCCAAACGTAACAAAAGAATAATCGCAAAAATATCTTAAGTTAAATATACGATATATGGATATAAAATGTGAAACAGTTATCTGCAAAGAGATATAAAAATATAATTTATTTTTTATTTTTCTACTTATATTAAAAAGTGATAATAATTACAATCTGCGAAAATAGGAACACAGAAATATGTGAAAGAATATTTACGTATAAATAATTCTCTCTCTCTCTCTCTCTCTCTCTCTCATTTTATTATATTACTTCTTTGGTTAATGCTAACACTTCTTTACGCAGTTCTACGCGCAAAGCCACACTTTACATAGAACGAGGCTTCTCACCAGTGATTGCTCTTTATCAAGAACTCATCTCACAGAATTTGAATATAGAGCCGTAACACATGACAAGATCCTTGGAAATTACCTAAGAGTGCATCCATGGAGAACACCACAACATCGACAGCTCACTTCGTCGACGTGTTTTTCTGCATTCCGTTGGTCGGCTTCCCCTCTAAACACTTGGCTTAATCGCGCCGCAGAATAAAGTGACTGCGGTTAACGATGACGATGGCGCAGGTCAAGCGGAATGGAAGCGCTGTTTTCGCGGATTCCATCATCGGGACACCGCATCAGGAATTTCTGATCGGAAAGCGACGCGGTTTCCGTTTACGTCGTGATGAAACCGGTTTCTCTTTATGATGGGATATCGGACGGTCGCCTTATGATTTCTGTCTCTCAGTCTATCTCTCTCGGTCTGCTTGGGAGATCATCTCTTCCCCATCTCTACATCGTTTTTGAGCAAAACATAATCGTGGCGAGAAGGTAAACGAATCAAGCATTACACTGACATGGAAAAAGAATTATTTTTTTAATAGTATGTTATTATTTCTCTATTAGAGACAGAAATGCATGAGCCTGTGAAAACTCAAGGATCAGATGAAAAACTGAAGTATTTGAGAATCATAAAATTATGAGTATATCATGAGTGACAATAATTATAATATGAAAGAAGAACAAGATACTGTTATTATTCGCAGCATCTTTTGTACTGACAAAAATTAGTAAGTTGAAAAAAGAAATATCATTTATTGTTATAGAATATATTTATTTAAGTATATATATTTATTTTTAAATAATTATAAAAAGATAGTGTTTCATAAAGAAATGTCAGATTTTAATTCGATCTTATTTCGTATTTAAAATATGTGACTCATACAAAAAAATCTTTCATGTGAATATATTAGAAATTTGCTAACAATGTCAACGAAACTTTTCCTTGGAGGAAACTCAACTAATCATAAATTTCACGTTTTTTTAGGAAAAGGAAAGGATTTTTTTCTCTTTGATGATGAGGAAGAAATCTTTTGTAGTATATATATTCCTACATGCACAATTTATGATTACCCAAGAGGTTACGACAATGCGAGACACAACGGCGTCGACTTCCTTCTTCCTTAGTTTTCCTCCTGCCCTTCCCGAGCAAACCCGTTCGTCGAAAGAGAACGCTTCATCACAACGCGCGAAACGCAAAAGGGGTGGGACTCGTATATTGCGCAGCGAGTGGGGTGGCGTGGGAGTGGCCTTACGCGAACTGCAGTCCGCCCCCTTTCGCGTATTGCCGCTGATTCTAGTTTCGTCGCTAGACGGCGCTGCCAATCATCCGGGACTGGACTCGGCCTTGCCGGTACCCTCACTCCGTATCGCGGCTTCGGCTCGTCGGAACCGTCCGCACCTAGCGCAGTGGAGTCGTCCCTTGTCTCGTGCGCACCAAGCTCCGCGTTCGCCGTCGCGTTTCTTCCATGGAGCACATGATCCTGAAAAATCACTCCTACACTGAGTTCCTTCAGGAATAAAGAAACAGTTACGAGTGGGTGATTCTTCGTCAGAGTGTGACCGATGGGGAATTGTTTCAGTGCGGGTGCGTGAACGCTTGATTTGATGTTTGTTCGCCATCGCTTATCGCAGTGCGCCGGGGCGATATGGAATATAAACCGCAAAGTACAAATTCCGAATTGTCGATAATACCGCGATGACAATAATAGATTCTTCAAGTGCTAATCTGTGAAGTGGCATGGGTGTTACTCGCGTACGATAACTGGGGCGGACTGTCGTCGACTTTGTCAAAGAATCGCGTGATGCACCCGTGAGGGCTCCTCCCTCGTCTATTCTTCAAGGTGTCTCGGAGGGATTCAACCCCCCCACGTTAGTGTCGTGATATTGGAAGTGTTGCGGGGGAAGTAACGCAAGAGAGGAGAGAACGAGGGTGGACGGTAGAGGTGGAAGGAAGAGAGGATCCGAGCCACAGGCGGACGCCATCTCCGCGTTATCGGCAAGCGGACCCCTCGGGATTCCCCCCCGAGCAACCTCGGCGTCGCGCACCCTCGGCGGGAACTACCCCGCGACAGCGACCACCCTGATGGGAGTGTATGAGGAGCGCGCCCCTCCTACCACCGGCATGCACTGGGTGAGTGTCATCCCCATGTCCGCGTTGCCCATTGGCCGCTGCGCACTAGTTGGTACACCCCGCCGGGGCGGAAGCTCCTCGCTCAGATTGTGAATCTGCGATATCATCTCCGCACATTTCTCCGAACATTTCTCTCTATTGAATTCAAGATGGTGAATGTAGGACTGTTTACGCTTCTGCGAGTATAAATGAATTTTGGAGAGCTTGGTCTCTAATTGATCATTTTTAATCGGTACTCAAATACCAGAATTTGATTTGTGCAGACATGACAGAATCATTTCTGATAATGCACATTGCAGAAGACACGAAGTCAAATGATTTCTACTTTATGTCATATAGAAAAGTAAAATTATTAAAATTATTTGTTATTATTTTTAGCAAGAAGGGTTCTTATTTTTACTGATATATTTTATAATTATACATA